AACACTTAGAAACCAACTATTTGTTGGCTGCTGGAATGTTAGGACGCTGTTGGATCCTGGTAGCCAGTCTATCACCATGCGTTCTTTATACGACTACAAGGTGGACATAGCGTGTCTATCTGAAGTGAGGTTACCCGATCATGGCTCCCGCCGAATAGCCGTACCTGGAACAGATTCTTCATTCTGGTTGCTTCATAGTGGACCCCAGAATAATTCGGGACAACATGGGGTAGCATTTGCTCTCAGTAACAAAGCCAATAATGCCCTAATATCATTCGAACCGGTCAACTCCAGAGTTGCAGTCGCTAGGTTCAAGGGTTCCCCGCTCGACATTTCTGTTCTCGCTGTCTATGCCCCAACCCTCGACTCTGATGAAAGTATCAAAGACGAATTTTATGACAATCTTCAAGAGGCAATCAACAAAATCCCAAAGCGTGACGTTCTCATAGTAGCCGGCGATTGGAACGCCCGCACTGGCCCTTCAGACGACGCGACAAAACATATACTAGGCAAACACGGTCTCGATCAGCGCTGCCGTAATGGTGATAGACTTTTAGCTTTTTCTGATTACAATCGATTATATATCACCAACACTCGATTTCAACACCCCAGAAAACATCTTCTCACCTGGTATTCGAACGACGGTCGCACTGCACATCAGATCGACTACATCCTAGTGCGCTCACGCTGGATCTCCTCGGTGGAAGACTGTCGATCCTATCGTGGCGCAGAGGCCGGAAATAAAGGGGGATCAGACCATACTCTAGTTCGGGCGAAATTCAAACTTCGTTTAACAACACGCCAGAAGGCGCGACCTCCGAAGCGTATCAATGTTGCCCCGCTTCAATGTTCGACAAAGCGACAAGCCTTGTCCAAACAAATCCAGGCCGAACTAAGCGCCGCAGATGAACCAACATCCACATCTTCTAATACACCCGAGACACGATGGAATCATTTCAAAGAAGTAGTCTCTAAAGCTTCAATGTCGCATTTGGGTACCACATCCAAGAAGCAGAAAGACTGGATTTCAGAGCACACCATGCATCTATCCTCGCAAGCCAGAGACGCTCGCCTAGCAAAGTCTCCAGTTTATCGCTCCCTCAGGCGCAAAGCTACACAGTCTGCTAGGAATGACAGAAATCGCTATTGGTCTAACGTGGCGACTAACATGGAAGCAGCATCAAATGTAGGCGATTTCGGAAAACTTTATCGCCTCATACGCCAATCATCTGGCAAACGCCTTAACAGTCATGCTGTGTTACGCACAGCATCAGGAGAAATTATTTCGGACACCAATGGTAAGATGGAACGATGGGCCGAACATTTCAAGCAGCTACTCAATCGCAACGCTGGTCAACCGTCTCATCGACCGATACGACACTTACCAACACCCTACGTAGTTGACTGCGATCCACCCACTCCAACCGAAATAGCTAAAACAATTAACAGACTCAGAAACAAAAAAGCTCCGGGCGAAGATGGTCTACCTCCAGAAATATACAAGGCCTGCACTCCAGCGCTAATCGATTCGCTGCACTCGCTGTTCTGCTCAATTTGGGAGTCCGAAACCATTCCTTCCGATTGGAGCACCTCAGTTCTGCTACCGTTCCACAAAAAGGGAGACAGGTCAATATGCGAGAACTACCGAGGCATAAGTCTGATTGATATCGCTGCTAAGGTTTTTGTTTCCATTCTCCTGAACCGCTTCGCGGCCGAACGCCACGTGCGAACAAGGCCAAATCAAGCCGGATTTCGACCTGGAAGAGGCTGTGTTGATCAATTATTCACACTGCGAAGAATTTTGGAACACAGGGACAAATTCCAACAGCCGACGGTTGCTTGCTTCATCGACTTCCAAGCGGCATTCGACTCAGTTGATCGAGGAGCACTCTGGTATCTAATGGAGCTCGACGGAGTTCCGACCAAGCTAATCAACCTGCTCAGGTCATACTACTCCAACACCAAAGCTCGAGTCCGAGTGAACGGTGAAGAGTCTCGCACTTTTGAGGTAACCAGCGGTGTCCGGCAAGGTTGTCCAGCATCCCCCATCCTGTTCAATTTCACAATTGATTGGATTTTGCGGCACGCCCTAACCGAGCACCACGGCGTCCAACTTTCGCCCGATATTCACATAACCGACCTCGAATTCGCCGACGACGTCGTGCTATTAGCTGAAAACTTCCCCGATATGCAACAGGCGCTCGACCAGATAAACCACCTCGCGCCTACTATCGGTTTGAAAATTAACACTTCCAAAACCAAAATGTTTTCGAACACATCCACCAGCAATGATGAAATCTTATCCCTAAATGGAGCACCTATTGAAATTGTGCCATCCTTCAGATATCTGGGATCCATAATGCTCCCCAACGGCCAAGCGAAAAACGAAGTGAATGCGCGAATCTCCAACGCCCGGAATGCGTTTCTACAGCTGAGGAGCGTTCTATGGAGCAAGAGAGAAATCAGTCTCAGGACTAAAATTCGGGTCTACCAAGCCTCCATACGACCCGTTCTCCTGTATGGCTGTGAAACCTGGCCTCTTCGCGCGGAAGATTTACGCAGACTCGAGGTAGTAGACCATTGGTGCCTCAGGTACATTCTGCATGTTCGTTGGCAGGACAAACTCTCCAACGAAGAAGTGCGTCGTCGTTGCTACAACATCAACCAAATTCCAGTACTGGTCCAACAACGCCGCCTTCGGTGGTTTGGCCATGTTCTGCGCCGACCAGATGACGATCTGGTCAAATCAGTTCTAAATCCCTCGCCATTACCATCTTGGCGATGTCGCAGGGGTGGACAGCTGAAGACATGGCTTGGTACAGTCAAGGCTGATATGGAGTGCCTGGGGCTACAAACCGTCTACGGACTCCGTCTGTGGAACAAGAATTGGATAACCCTGTCGCAAAACCTTGCATCAGATCGCCGCGCCTGGGCAGCGATGATTCGAGACGTTCATGAAGCCGGCTCATCCTCCCGTAGGAGATAGCCGAAGTAAAGTCAAAATAGATGTTATTCTGTATCACTTTTTGTTCTTTCTGTGCGGAGATATCGAGTGTTACTAAAAAAGGGAAAGTCAAACGATGAGGTAGCAAATCTACCTCAAGTAAGACGGCTACATGTTTTAGGTAGGTGTAGCCACCGGCTTCCACGAAGGGGAAATGTTAGCTGACATAGAATCAACCCGTTTGAATGAGAGCTAGTAGTGGTGGTCGAACGAAAACATGGGATAAGTCCAAGATATACATGACAGTTAGTTTGGGCTGGCCACTTAGGGAGGCCTAGATTGCCTGACTGACTGGTTGGGGTTAACGGGATTCTAAATCCTCGTCCTCAATGACTGGCACAGATGCATTCACTCTCTGTGATCTCCCATATCCATTACAGCCCCACTTATTTATTTTCCACGTTACTATACTTTCTGCCTCACATTCCTGCTTGTGATAGTTACTTCGAATCTCTCTGTTATTTTCCTTTGTGTTCTATATGAAGTGTGGCAGGCGAAACAGGTGCACTTCTGTGGTGGGTTCTATGACGAAACTGAATCACAGTTATTCAGATGAAACTTGATAACACTCAAAACAGCACGAACTACGAGAGTTCCTCCTAAGCCCACTGTACACCAGGTATGCGCACAAACAATTCTCCAGCACTTGGTGAACTCAAGCCACATAGCTCCACCAGAGTCGTCTTTCAAAAATCATCTACAATGTGAGTGCAAATAGTACAAAGAGAGTCATGTTTTGGCATTTGTGTATGGAGGAGGTGTTAGCAATTCGTCAGTACATCCCCGAACTCTGTATACAGAAAAAGTTTGTCCAGTCTCTTATTCTACCATCATCTTAATCTCTTTATTAGTCGTCCCCTGTAAAAATTTGATTTTTTTATTTCACTTTTAGTTGCTTTTACTTTAATTTATAATTAGTTAAATATTATCACTCTCATATGCTCCTTTTTACATTTTCACACCCTCTTCACACTTGTGAAATGGACACCTAACTACCACCCCTCTTCTCATTACTCAATAACAACTTTAACCTTATCAAATTTCTAACGCCTTCTTCCTTTGTGCCGTTGAGTACTACGCAATTTACAACTTTCATTTTCATTTCTAAAGCCACTTCTGAGTAATTATATCAATTATGCCACCACGTAGGATTCTTAATAAAGCATGAATTAGAGTGGTGGTATTTAAACCTACAAACTCACTCAGAGAGGGTAAAAGCTCGGTGGGTTAAACGACCCTGTCGGTTGACCCAATTAGACAAAATAATATAATTTACAAAATACCTTGCATTGATTGTGAGTTAGATCAACTACCTACATAAGTGAGTCAAACTAGTATATCGGGGATAGTCAGATTGTCGGAACATAAGAATTTACCTAAGGTTAGAATGGTTGACCCCACGAAGATAAGTAATTTAGAAAAAATCTCAGCAACTGCAATGCACTGCATGCATCAACCAACACACAACTACACAATAGGGTGGGACAGAGTCGAAATTCAAGTCAAAAATTAAAATAGGTAACATAGGTAGGTGGAGACAAAGATAGGCTTAATACTTTGAATCTACACCGAACACAACATGTGCAGTAGGAATGACTCATCATCACTCATACCAGAAATATGGAAAATACTACTACCACCAATCAAATCAAGCGAGGAGAAATAATGGAATCATATAAACGAAGTTGGAAAGTTGTGTGATCAGTGCCTTGATGATGATGACGACGACGATAAGAAGCAATAAACTGTGCTCAAGGCGTAGTAATCACCTACACACACACACACACACACACACACACACACACTGAGACTTTATCAAACCAAACTTTTGATCCGTAGTGAAATCATATTCTGCCACAATCATCAAAGTGCCCAAAAAGTTTTTTACTAATATCAATTCTTTATTAGTAGGAGAAAGTTATGGACTGTACAAAATCAATTTATAAGAAAACAATAGACACTTTCACAGAATAAAATTCATCTATTCACAATTATATTAATCTTCATTAACTTCCATTGCAAGATCACCATCCATGTCAGCATTTTTCATAACCCCAGGTTCTGGAATAAAATAATACTGACCATCATCTAATTGTCTACAGACAATAGTGACTTCTGGATGCAATGAAGTACGCATAGCATAACTGTCTTCTTCTTCTAACTCTTGTGTATGATCACCATTCGTCCAGACGGCAATCAGACCAACACGAAACTCCGACATTTCATGTTGGAATAATTTCTGAAATATAATTTTAAACAGAGATAATATATATACATATATATAAAATAATAAGCGTGTATGAGTTCAATAGGAAAAACAAAAGTGCAACTAGAAGAGATAATGAAGCGTGTATGTAATAAAAAGTACAAAATAAACATTACTGCCTGAGAATTAGTTGAGTTCTCTGAGGAGCTGGTTGATGATTCAATCGCCAACAAAGCTTTTCGTCAACTGAGAGGAACAAACGGACGGTTAGTGCCGGTAGATATATCACAAACTATAGTTGCATCTGATAAAGGATTAGGTACGTCCCTGGACTGTAAGGAAGAGTTTTCGCGACAAGTTTGGACTTCTGCGTCGTCTCTTTGTAACTGAGCCATACGGTCAAGACTGATATCTACTGATTTGAGCAGATGATTTAAATCACGGCGAGAAAGAGAATCGGCTACTACATTGGCGTCGCCTTTAATGTACTGTATGTCTGTCGAGAGCTGAGAGATATAACCTAGCTGCCTAGCTTCTCTGCGTGAGTGTCTATCCAATGACATAGTTAAAGCATAGCACAGGGGTTTGTGATCGGTAAATATTGTGAAATGACGACCTTGTAGCAAATAACGGAAATGTCTAATTGCTAGGTAAACGGCTAACAACTCTCTACCAAACGTTCCACTCGAAACCCAAGAGAATAACAATAATGATATAGCGGTTACGCCATCGAGTGTTAGGTGAGAGGGAAAGTCGTTTTCCTGTACGAAGTTTTGGTTCAATTCACTGAGGGATCGCCGGTTCTATAGAGTATTGTTTTTGGTGTGTTTTGTCATCCGTGCGAAACTGCAGCAGCAATACATCTAAAGGTAGATATCCAGCTTTAGTTCGATTGTGTTGTCGTTTCATTGGGGTTGACTGCTTTTAATCGACGAGGCGATATATCAGGCGGTCAACTTCAATATTACACATAGCTTGACCTCGTTATATCGTAAAAAAGCCTTCATTCCAAATTGCATAATTTGGTCTATAATCATGGATATAAGCGTATCTTGCCTTTTCAATTCTGGCTTTGACATCTTTAGCCGTTCCTCCTCTATAACAGCCCCCCTTTCATACCAACTAGCACAGGGAATAGTACTTAGACACTTATGATCAAAGACCGACAGTCTTTTCGTATCTCCCACTTTCAGTGGTCATATCTCACAGTCATGAGAGGAGGACGAAGAGAAGTTAATCACAGTACACGCATCCTTTGATGGATAGCCAGTCGGATATCACGTCTACTTCACCAGAGGTGGAGTGGGCTGGCAGACGCAACACGAGTCTTTTGTATGCGTGATGAGACTTCATCAGCAGTCATTTCCATTGGGGTTGAGACAACATCCCAATTAAGTGAAGTGGTCAATACGCTCTACCACTACACTCACTATCATCACAATAAGGATCGAAACTGTATAGATATTAACCACTTACTTCTCAGTCAGATAAACCGACCAATCAAATCTCATTATTTTTGATAGACGCCTACTAATTAGCCTTTGTTGCCGTATGATTTGTATTCAAGATACTATATGACCACTGCATATGTATAATTATCTGTCACGAGAGCCATTGGATAACTAGGGAAACCAATCACTCTTACGTGTTAAATGTTGCACACAAAATTAACAATATGAATCAGCAGATAAAACAAATCAGAAACAGTCTCATTTAAGAACACAGTGCTGATACATATATGACAAATCCTGACTAGTATTCTGTGGTGATTGACAATTCCTATCTCTGTATTGTATTGTTTAAATGCATACTGGTGTTTGTTGATATAATTCTTATATGAATTGAATAAAAATTCCGCCAAATACAAATTCCTAAATTCATTCCTCTCTGTGTTGTTGGCTGATTTCCCTGTAATTCGGTCATTGCGAAATACGACTACTGCTATTACAAATAATTATAACATTTTGGCGTCGCTATAGAATTAAATAATCTTGGAAAGTTTCCTATGAATGGTTCACCGAGGGAAATCGCTGATAATCTTGAATGCTTCGACGTGTGGTGCATGTCGAATAATGCTCACGATGACAAAATTCCAGCTCATTTTGTTACTGATATCGAGCTAGATGAGTACAGCCTAGTGACAACTCTGTCATTTCCAGATAAACCAATTTCTCTGTCATATGATAAACTCCGTGAACTTCTAACAAATCACTTCCACATAAAAACTTTCGAAACACGAGAGAGAGAGAGAGAGAGAGGGCTCAGTTCAACAAACTTGCTCGTGCTCCCAACCAGAAGATTAGAGACTTTATTCTTCAGCTTCAGAAACAGGCTTCAAACTGCAACTTTTGAGATCAGCTCCATACTCAATTACGTGATCATCTAATTGCTGGAATAAATATTCCGAAGTTAGATTCAGATTCCTTCCTGCACCTCTCAAACTGCTAAGCATTTATGTATTACCTATGAAGATGTCAACAGTGAATAATCAAGCTCCCACTACATCCATATCTGATGTCATGCTGTCCAAAGTTGATAATACAAGTGTTCATAGAAAGAAACCCAAACTGTCGTCCACATATAACGGAATGCAGACACAAAGCAAAAACATCAAACCGTGTTTTTCCTGTTGAAAGATACATCTACGAAGCACTTGCTGTTTGAGGGGTGCTAAGTAGCATAAATATGGTAAAATTGGGCACATAAAGTCTGTTTGCCGGAGTTCAAATACTTATGCTACTAAGAATTCTCATTAATCTTCCAATTTCTCTTGTAGCATGCAGTCAACGTCTCTTTCAACTTTTCACAATACTCAATCTCATCTAATGAGAACCTTCACTACAAGTTCAGGCGAGTCTCACTGTTTTATAATTGTGATACTGGGAGTATTGAATCTATATTTTCTAAGAAAGATTTACTATCGCTTTGTAAGCATGACCAAGTAAATCCTACTGCTAGTTCAATTACAGTCATTACTGATCATAAACCACCTCTCGTTGGTGGTGCTACTAACATTGCTTTGAAATCAGACAGTGGTAGTTTTGTGAATATCCCCTTTCTTGTTGGTGAATACGGTCCATCCTTATTAGGATTAAAAGCCCTTAGATTGTTGAATGTCGAAATCTCACTTTGTACTTGGTTCTTTGATAAATCTCTGTTCAGAGAATTAGTTCTCCAATGTTCATATTGTGTACGTGGAATGAAGATTCAGCCAATCCATCTTGAAATAGAAGGTGATCCTATCTTCCTACAGCGCCGATTAACTCCATATGGTTTGCGAGGTACAGTTAAGAAAGAGTTAGACAAGTTGGTTGAGCAGGGTATATTTATGCCAGTTGAATCTTCAAATTGGGCTACGCCATTAAAGGATGATAGGAAAACACTTAGAATTTACGGTGACTACCGCCTTACACTCAGTAGTCGCCTACTACAGCATAGTTGCTCTACGATAGAAACTGAAGACATTCCCTACAAGCTACATGGCTCAAAATACTTTTCCAAAATGGATCTCAAAGATGCTTATTTGCAGATTCCTCTTGACGAAGCTCCTAGTGCATTAACAAATGGAGTACTGAGTTCTTGCCTTTGGTTTAAAGGTTTCACCTGCAATATTTCAAAAAGTAATAAATCAGATGATAGATAGATTAGATAGATAGTGTTGAGTCTTACCAAGACGACATTATAGTTCATGGACCGAACATCGAATTGCATAATGAACGTCTTTTAGAACTGTCCAAGAGTTTCTGTGAAAACAATATTATGGTTAATCCGTCCAAATGTCATTTTACTTTGTCAACCATGTCATGTTTAGGATACACAGTAGACTCCAGGGATTTCAGACCTGATGTCAATCGTTTGCCACCTCTAATTCAAGCACCTTCACCAAATAATATGTCGTCATTGAGACCATAGATTGGTACGCCTCAGTTTTACTCGAGATTCATCCCCAATTTCACTCAACTGTTATCTCCACATTTTGATATTGTCTCCAATCAACAATCTAAGTGGGAACAACGACATGAGGATATCTTCTGAAGAATTTTGAAGTTTCTTAATAGACAAGCTTTCTTAAGACCTTTCTCATCGAAAGATAAGCCTGAATGTCATCTGATGAAAATGTTCACTACAGGTTCAGGCAAGTCGCACCCTTTTCATAATTTATACTGGGAGTACTGAGACTATATTTTCTAAGAAAGATTTACTAAAGCTTGGTAAGCATGCCCAAGTAAACCCTACTACCAGTTCAATTGCAAGCATATATTCACTAGAAAAATATGCATAAAAACACTATATACTAAGGTCCTTTGTTAGTAGCAAAACCAAGAAATGTCATGAATTCATCTCACTCAACAAGATAAGAAATATTTCATCAATGTTAACAAAAACTCACTAAAATTCGACATTGTTCTGGAGAAAGGACGTCGCCTTTAGTACACACTAAGTGGTCCCTTTCTAAATGTACAACCCCACGGACTAGTTTAACAGGCAGTCCAAGCTGACGCAGAACACACTCCATAGTATGAGGAAATTTTTGTAAAGGACCAGCAGTGATTCGAACCTTAAAATAAACATCAAAAATAATAATAATAATTAATAACAATTAATTGCATTAACAACTTCAGGATACAGATGTTTCAAACTTGTGAAGTCAATAATTTTAATTTCATTAGGGCGTACGATCAAGCAAGCTCATCGTCGAATTTCTGAACACCTCCTCCCATCTTGGTTTGGCAAAGGTCCGAATAAAGATATACGCAGCTCAATACTAGCTCATCCTCTCCATACTCACTGGACATCAAGTCGACTTTAACACAGCTTTTGAAGTTATTTATTAATCGTATATCACCCAACCTCTCACATGGTCAACGAGTACGACTTTCACATACAGCAGAGGTAATCAGAATTCATATGGACAAGCTGAATCTGTGTGTATATCTATGTTGTGAACTTTTCTTATAATACGTATCTAGTCATATTCATATCTCTACCGCTATTAACACTCTTTTTTTCCTTTATATGTTTAAGCCATTCCGGCTTCATTGTAAAATGAATAAAGCCTAAATTCTTGGTTCATTCGTCTTTTCAAGATTCAAGCATCACTCATCGTTCTAAGACTCAATCACCTTCGTAACAATCTATTCAAAAGAAATTTGTACAGCCCCTTTTTCTTTGCCGTGGCCAACTACATAATATGCATCAATATGTATCAAAAGCAGTTTTTCCCATCCCCTTGTAACTTTGTATCTTTTGACTTTGTTAATTTTCACAATCTCTACAATTCTAGCTAATTCTATTAACTTGTTTGCTTTTCACGTAACTCTTCTCAGTCATCATCACTATTATACAAATTTCTTGATCATGTGATAACTTGTTGCTAACGCTGAAGAATCAACTGAACTTGAATTCCATAATTAATTAATTTTCACCCCTACCTCCTTCAGAACTTGCATATCTTGTTACTAACATCTCTCAGTTAATAGATGTTTTGATGACATTTAACCTCTTTTAACTTTTAACCATCTCCATCGTGCTATACCTAAAACTGATTAACTAAAATGACCACTTGATTGGTAAAACATTTTGATGTAAAAAATGACGATATATTAGTGTAGAGCCACCCAGCGAGTCGATGATGAGGAACTAATTGAAGTAAGAGAATGCATGGTTTCTTCGCTCAATTTGTTGTTACTTTTCTAAACGCGTGAATTTGAACACTCCTTATTTGTTCACAAATAAAGTGACAATACAGATGACATTCCTTCACGTACTCAGTTGAACATAGGAGGCTTCAAGCTGGAACTTTTCGAAGTTTCGGCAGTAGTGGTTTTTATTTTAACGAGATTATTTTAACTCAACCTTTCAACTTTACCGGCACTACCACCGTCTTAACGAGGCTTAGGAGTGCAGTCAGACAGGAATCAACCCCCGGATAGCATCCATAGTTGATGACCGTTTTACCGCTGAACAACCGACGCACAGACATCAAAAGTTTTTAAGGCATAAAAAATGACAGAGGCACAAATAATTTTGTGAGTAGAACAGGAGCCTCAAATTTTATAAACAAAACATTTTTCAAAATGGTACTCATTGTTAAGGATTAGAGTTTTCCAGCACACCCACTGAACATTTACACTATTATCCAAGGTGGAATTAAGTTGGATAAAAGTTCAGCGTAAATAGACGAAAATATCAACATAGAACTCTGCACAGATGTGCATCGGTTCAACTTGCCACACTTCCTTCGTATACCAAACAAACCAACAGAATACAGTGAACAGATTCAAAAGAATTAGAGGGAGATAATGCAGAGAAGAGTGAATGAGGCAAAATAATAATGATATAGAACAGTATATTTCTACAGGACATTATAAACCACAAAGAGTGAATGCATCTGCGCCAGCCATCACCGAGAACGATTTTCAGCAATATCATCGATAACTGTCTCAAGCCTCCATTGGTTTCTACTATCCTGAGGAAACCAACCCGACGTGGCTGGCTGGCTAGTTTAAACTAACTGTTGACGGCTTCATTGGTTGATGAAGCCATGTTTCAGTTCTACCATCATGTACCAGCTCTTTTCCAACCTGATACATCCATCCTATGTCAGCCAACATTGGCCGTCGAGGAGGAGACGGCTAGGCATGAGTAACACACACCCAAGACGAAAATATACTATCAGTCTATGCTGTACGCTGATGGATAATTTAAGTAGCCTGAAAAAAAGTAACGTTTCATTCACTAGGAGATTAACACCAGCATTGTCATTGACAATATCACACACGGATTCACTTCTATTCGTTTCAGATGTATTAAATACTCACCTAATTATTTCTTCAATACATTTTTGTCTCGGGGCTGACATCAGTTAGAGAACCACTGAAAACTAGGGAGCACTGGACAACTGTTCCGCCCTAGTTCGGGACCCATTGACAATTAGAATTCATGGGTCGTTGATTTCGGTTAAAGTGGCTGAACAGTCTAAGAGCTTGACATAGGACCGGCAGGCCTTGGGTTCGAACCACACAGGCCAACAGAAGACGGTAAGGAGAGATGACAAACAGAAATATGAGAATAGGAATAAGGAATAGAATTTCATTGGATCTGATACATCGCCAAGAGTGAATGCATCTGCGCCAGCCATCACCGAGAACGATTTTCAGCCATATCACCAACTGTCTCCAGACAACATTGGTTTCCACCATCCTAATAACCCCAACCAGTCAGACAATCTACATCTCCCTACGTGCCTTAGGGGGATTTCATTGATTGATGAAGCTGTTCTGGTTTGAACACCACCATTAGCTAGCTCTTTCCCAACCTCATCCATCCATCCTATGTCAGTCAGCTAACATAACGCGTCGGTAGAGGAAGGCGATGGTTATGCATAAATGCGTAACACGTGTCCTAACAACCATCTCAAACGACTTAAATGCTTCACCACCTTGTCGACTGATTTCCCCTCCTCCTCGTTCCCCACTCACCACTCGACCGACGCCTCATCTCAATATTGTCCACCGTATCATACCACCACCTAACATGGGAGATAAAACTCAGACACCTATGATGAAAGACAGTTAGCAAGGCTTTTCATGTCTTCCACTGTGTGAATGGCCATGTCTCACAACCAGCCAGTCAGCCATAAAGGAGGACGGAGCGAAATGCTTCTGAGCGGTACACACGCTCTTTGGTTGATAGTGAGTCAGATGTCATATCTACTAAGCCACAGGGAGATGGTGCAAGTTGAGTTGGCTGAACAATGTCAAACGAGCCTTCTGTATACGTGATGAGATTTCGCCAGCGATCAACCGGCTGGTGTTGACTGATACGACTTCCGAAATAAACGAAGTGGTCAACACGCTCAGTTAGTCAGCCACCACTTCACTCCTGTGTGCCTATCTTTAAGCTACGAGTGAGTCAATTTAGTCCAGTCCAGTCCACTGCATTACCTAACATTTGACAGCACGAACAAATCTGACTGACTGACTGGTTTCAACATATAACTTTGCACCGATGTGCAGCAGCACTTCGAGTCGCCACACTCACTCCATGTAGCCCACAAAGCAAAAGAAAGTAAAGAAATGCAAAATAGAGACGGTAAACAGAGATAGGAGGCAAAAAGAATAGTCATATGGAAGAACAATATAGTTTATTGAGTATTATAAGTCACAAGGAGTGGACGCGCCTACACCACTGAGCAAACCATATATGAAACACTCGAAGACTGCTCTATTTTTTGAGGGACGACTATGTCATCTGCATATTCTAAGTCAACCAGATTATTCCCTGGTGGTAACAAGTCAATCCTGGAGTCGCTGAAGTAAGTTGGGGTTAAGTCCATTAATACATCTATGATGACACTAAATAGAAGTAGGGACAGCGAGCATCCATGACAGACATCACTGACTGTCATCACAGTTGTCAGATGACAACTCTCCGCAAATTCCCACCTGGCTGACTCCATGAGTGTCCTAATCAGTGTGATACATTTCCTCGGCATTCCCTTCACACCAAACATCGCCATAGTAACTCTCGGTGTACAGATTCGAATTCTATCTTCAGCTAAAGAAATATGCTAATTGCTGGACGCCAGTAAATATGCCTATGTTCCACAGTATGTCGAAGGGTGAAGATATGATCAATCACTACACTCTCTTCCTGATGTAAAGCTTGCCTGGTTCTCTCTTATTTATTCTTCCCGGGCACCACTTCGCCTACGCATGATTATTGTGCCTAAAACTTTATATACCATAATGGTCAAGTTAATCCCCCTGCGATTATCACAAAAGGATTTTGTCTCCCTTCTTGAATATCGGGATAATCAATGACTTACACAAACTGAACAGGACTATATCTGATTCCCAGACTGCCTCTCGGTCTAACTGCCATCACACCGGAACACAACTCAAGTGGTCATAAGCTTTATTAATTTAAAGTTAAGATTGATAACTACGGGTTTCGACGGGTTTTTTCATGATTATACTTCAACATTTGCACTATGAGGTAGTTACGCCAAACAACTTCAAAATGAGTCATAATATTCTTTAACTTGTCTCACGAAAAGGTTTTTAAATGAAACATTTTTTTAATACTGATGGAGTTAAATCCACCTTGGTTAGCAAATATCTGCGAAAAATTGAAGCTACTGTTAAGAATTGAGTATACTAAACCTATTCGAAGATGGCATAGAGGTTCCTCACTCATACGAGGTGGTAGGAAGCGATCATAATCGTCAACTCTCAAGTCCTGGAGGACTTTCTTTCGAAAAAATTTCAAAGCTATCTCAATAAGAACTATGATAAAGCTTCACTTCGCTGTAGGAACTTCACAAACACAAAATCTACCTAGTGATACCACATAATTCACGATGGGTTACATTATACGCAGTTATGTTTAGTCATGAGAATTAGTATTTACTGAATCACTGGATGTTTGAATTCGTACTACAGAGTATAACATCTTACTAAAGACAACATACAGACAAAAACTCCAAACGTTGATGAGGACTTACAGTTTGTTCAGATAATGTACCTGACCTGCTGAATTCTGTTGAACGAAAAGCATCCAACTGCTCACGTAATTCTGAAGGTGTCAAGTCCGAAAACAGAAGAGCGCATTGTCCTTTTAAATAGTTGCAAAGTTTATATATTTTTGGCCGGTAAGAATCTTTTGGTGTTTTACCGAGAGCCAAAGCTGTCACTTTATTAATACCAAATAGGATTCTAAATTCAAGATTAACCACAAGACATAACCTACTTGATGTTTGGCATATTCCTTCGTATATTCGCCACCTTTTGAGATCGGGAATTGTGCAAAGCGATCACGTAAACTCTTTTATACTGATCCACGTACTGACGGACCTTCATGAAAATAAGCTATTAATTATCAAACGACAACCTTTTTAACATGGTCATGCTTTTTAGGAGCATGTTTTCGGACTTTCGTAAGCTCAACTAAGAAAGAAACGAAATAAAACACACCATATACCTACCTTTCTTGTCACGCCTTGATGTAGGCATTTTAATCAAAATCCCGCTTATGTAATTTCTACAAACCCGCAAGTCCTTAGATATTGAATTCGAAGATCTTGTAAATACTTATCTGTAGAGCGTTGCCAAAAATTTGTTAAGTTCATTTATTTATCTTCAAAGCAAACTTTCATATGAAAATTAGTACGACCAATAACATTAATTAGATAGAGGCAGAAACGCAGGCTCAACAACACATATATTCCAAAAACACAAAGATGAATTACAACTCCAGCGTTCATTCAATTAAGATGGCAGACGGAAAGTCTAAGCGGCTAATCACCAGCACATTCACACCAAGTTATAAAGCATGGGTGATGACAATTCCCCGATTCTGAGTACAGACTTTAATACACCTGCAAAGTATGTTAAAATGGGATATTCTGGTTTAATTACTGAACGCTCAGCATCCGAATATCTCTACCCGATTGGATTTGAATGATAGGAACAAATCATCACCTCAGTCACGATGTGGTGGAAAATGAATCCTTAAATTATTTTCGTTTTCCACAGCTTTACTTAAATCCAGTGACGACATTATCCAGTGAATAAGATATAGATATTTTGTGCCTTTCCTTTGGTTGCCCCAACGGTTTCGGTACGTACCTAATAGCTGCACCTCTCCAAAACTACATTTACCCAGAATAAGGCTGGGTTGCCCGCTCGGTCACAGTATACGCACAGAGAACAGAGGCTATAGTCTCACACATATAAGACTCAAACGTGAGTGCACTGAATCTGACCAAGAGCCCATATTCCTGGACGTCATTAGCTATGTGTTGTAAAGAATGCACGTTGCTGGCCCAATGTGGGAGTAGCATTCTCGCAACGCAGTAGATTATAAGTCCATATTATTTAAGTCTGTGTTGCCGCGTGGAGATGCAGTATTTATGTGTTGGCCTTTCTCACTGCAGCAGGAAACTGCCCAAATCTGTTCCAGTGTCATCTAAACACTTATAGCAGCATTTCCGGCACTACAGTAAGTAGCCTTCGGAAATTTGAGTGCAGAGACAACGGCGGAGTAGTTCTGAGTATAACCCAAGTATAAAAGAGACGTTCTACATTATTTTGCCTCCCACTGACTAACCCCATCCAACGAGCCACATTTGCGCCAAATATCAGTTGGAATTTAGCCACTGCCTGGTTGTGGACAGTTTTTTTATGGCTGTCAGAACTTCAATATCCATATTTTCTTTCGGTGAGATGACAAACCCCGTCTAAAGAGCACTGATTTTTTAACATCACCCACGAAGATAACATGCATGGGCTTTGAAGAGAATGACTTCACCATACCAAGTGGCAACTCCTCGAAACAAGTTCGGAATCGGTAATAACTTACTCTTACCATACCACGGAATATGACGTCATTCCTCACTGCATGAATACCGTTAGGAAACATCATTTTACCTCTCTTACTACTACTGATGGCTGAACATTTACCAAAACCTGACTCTTCTTCGTGACCTGCAGTTTTTTGAACCAGCTCTTGTGTCACACAGAAATGCCACTACATTAATGGTATCATACCTACTCAACTCGCTAGCGTACAAGCAATGGATATAAGCACCCTTCAGTTCGAGCAGAAGGCGTCAGATTTCTTTAATCCGCCATATATCTCAATTGAAGTCCCCTCATCGGTGTGCTGTTTCATGTCGCAGCTTGAGAGTGGCCACATTTACTACGGAAGACTATTCGGTGCTGACAATTTGTCGTAATTAAGTTGTACGTCAACACGTCTAAAGGTATCGTAATCAATCCAACTATCTAAATAACAGCAGACTTTTCTTTAATCCAAGAGGACAGTAAAACCCTAGCCCATGAAATGTTGGCAAACATACCACTCCCTTTGAACGATCCTGTGACGCTTGTTGGCACTTGTCGATTGAATGGAACGACTAGACTTCGGCTATCATATGTGGACTCATCATTATTAGGTTATGATCGTACTAAAATGGAAGGATAAGCTAATTGAGATCACAGTGACAACAGCTGTCAATGGACGTGAACATTGAACGTTTGTTTTTGGAACTGGCAGCCATCCGTGTGTAACTTGAAGGCGCGAATGGTTCGACCGTGTACAAGTTGGACGAAGACGAACGAGAACGAATAAAAATTTGTATTGTTCTCCGCTTTAATTGCCGAACAATATAACTTATTTCTTATTATACTGGTGTTTTGGCGTTGGAATCGAAGAAAGTACATAGTATTTATCGGAGCTATGCCACCGACGTTTAAAAAAATTTACCGGAGCGGAGCGTCTTTGTAACAATAGGAACTTAGGGATAATTTCCTTGCCAGTTTTATTCATTTTATGGATCGCCCTCTGGGGAAGTTTTATTAATCTGTTCGTCTTCTGGAGAGCCTTCCGGGGCCGTTTCTATTCATCTTTTCGTTTTCTGGAGCGCCTTTTGGAACTCATCCGAGTGTACTTACTGGATCTGCAGCCGGCTTCTCTTTGGACACGGATTATCGACACAATTTGGATCCTTTGGTGACGTTGGATAATGCCTAGGCCAAGGAAGGGACGTGGTACCATGGAAGCGGACAAAAAGTAAGTAACAATGAGTTGCCTGTTAATTGTAATGATATGCATGATTCTCGGCATGATGAGTTTGATGTTCACGCTTCGTCGTTTAGGGATAGTGGTGCTTTAAGACTCCCTAAGTTTGAACCTCGATACTCTGATGGAAACCCGACCAACTACCCACAGTTTATCGAGGAGTTTGAGTTCATGCTGAGTGGTTTTGTTTTAAATGACGAAATGAAGTTAATGTATTTGTTGGGATATTGCACAAGTGTTGCTACAGAATCCATACAGTGCTGCAAGTTTATGTTCCCGAACATAGGATATACAGGGGCTATGAGGATACTACGTCAAAGGTTTGGAAAACCATTCATGATATCCCGTAACGTTTTTGAAACTGTGAAGGGTAATGAATCACAGCTAAACGATAATTCAGAGGAACTCGCAGAGTTCTTGGACAGTTTAATGGTATATAGAAATTCTCTTGTGTCTCTTAATTGCGTAGATGAGTTGAATTCAAGTTCCGTGGTTGAGACTGTTGCCAAGAGATTACCGGCTCGTCTACAAACGAAGTTCATAGAGGTTAGTTCCCGGCTAGAGGAAGATAGTTTGGAGCCTGGATTCGACGATATTCTGAGGCTGGTGAAAGACAGTGTCAACCGAGCGACGGCCAAATTCGCCAGCATTTTGCATTCTAAGGTAGAAACTAAGGAACCGGTGAATATAAAGAAGGCATTTGTAGTGAAGGCTCAAGGCACAACGAGAAGGGATGAGTGTATTGTGTTATCTCTGGTGACGTACACAAAATTAGTGAGTGTGCTGGTTCCCTTCAAATATCTGCGAGAGAAAGAATACAAATTGTGAAAAGGAAACGGTTGTGCTACTGCTGCTTAAAGGACGGGCACACAAGACTTAACTGTGAGACAGCTGAGAATGGTGGTAGTGGTTCATCAGGATTACATCCGCTGTTGACAGTATCGAAGTTTTACATATGTATATACTAATATAATAATACTTAATAATTATGCATGTTCAATTCTTGAAATCAGATTGTCATTAAAATACTTAAAATGATTAAAATATTTATGCAGCAAATGTCCTCTTGATTTACCACGCTTGTTTCCCTTATAACACTCAATTATTGAGCCTAGTGTATTATTTGATATACGAATTGTATTATTGAATATACTGTTATCACATATTGTTTGATTTACTCTACAGCTCCCTGTAGAGTATCTACCATTCTTTATTATACACACACTGCAGTACTGTTAAAAAAATGCTAAAATTTTGTTGGTTATATGTTATTATCTTTTTATAATATGTGTAGATAGGTTACTTTACAATGTCAGATGTTTACTATATGCAAGACTGTCATGATAATTTAGTACATTAAGTCCTGCCAGCCGACCTTACCTTCAGTTCATACTACCTACATTGAACCCTAACTATAGTGTTCTGCTAAATCTTGCTCCACTATTCACAATGCCTATTCGTTTTACTCTTTAAGTTTTTGAATTCCTATAAAGTAATCTGTTCATTAGGGTGCATGCACACATATATAATATGTTCATAAAGATGTACGTGGAGACCTATTGGAAGCACTCATTAAGAAAGCCAGGGAGATGGAATATGGGGTACGAACATGTCTGGTACAAAGCAATATATTTTCGGCAGCCATAATAATCGTAGCTATAGTACCTAGTCATGAAACAGTTATAAATAAATAAATTTATTCTCATGGTACAGTACATGAGGGACGCCAGTTTACAGGCATCTTCAAATTGTTACAGAAATAAGACCATATTATTGAGTCACATTTTACAATCGACAGCAAAATATGTTTTACATGTACACTGGAGATTATACATACACTTGATAAATGTTAATCCCAATAGTATAAAACATCCTTTTCACTTATGTACAATCATTTCTGTGCATAGTTGGAAAAATCTACTAGATTTTCAGTGAGTGCAACACATCAGGAAATACAGAAGTATTGTCTTCGCATTAACAAAAAACCAGGTCTTTGGTGGATGGGTTATAAGTGCCTGGGAAAAAAATAAAGCTTGAAGTCAATTTTCGTACAATACTTTGTTGTGTGCAGAATCCTTGAATTATAGTTCATTGATGTGTTATTTTGAAATCAGTGATTTGTTTATCTCATTTGATCTGCAATGTCATTGTTGGGAGTAAAATACATAAGCTTTAGACGCATTAATTAATGGATTTCTACTGCTTGTGGGTATTTACTTCTCGTGAGGAAGGTTTTTGAATTTTAGTTGTTCCGACAGGAGTTGTGGATATTGACTGCTCAGCAACATTACGGATATAAGTTCATCACATTATCTCAGGAATGTTGGGTTGTAGTTGGTGGGGCATATATGATGTCCGACGAGCGTACATCTGTCCATGTGATGTTGTGGTGAGTTATATCTTTTTCATGTTGTCGTTTATGTCCATTTTA